TTCCTCCTCCTAATCCGGGAGGAAATCCGTGTGGAGCTTCCCCTCTGAAATAGCACCGCAGTACTTTTCGCTGGGTTGATGTCTATGCGCCATTTTCGGAACCACTGTCCTAGGGCTAGGGCTGCGCTCTGAAGCTTCTTCGCGATTAGGGACTTATTTCTACTAGAATAGTAAACAGTCGTGTCGTCGGCGAATAAAGCTAAATGGGTCGGCGGCGACCGGGGAATATCGTTGACGAATAAGCTAAATAGGAGGGGTGAGAGGACAGAGCCTTGCGGGACTCCAGCTGTGAGAGGTCGTGGGGAGGAGCGGGTTCCCTCGACTCGATATCGAAAAGAGCGGTTCGACAAGAAGTCCCGTATGATGAGCACGAGACTATCCGGCACGCCCATGTTGAATAGTTTGAAAATCAAACCATTGTGCCAGACTTTGTCGAACGCTTTTGCGACGTCGAAGAAGAGAGCTCCCGTGTATAACGGTTTTGGTCGATTAAGCCCCACAAGAATGTGCTCCGTGAGGCGGTGCACCTGTTGAACGCATGAGTGATTTGTACGGAATCCGAATTGTTCATCGATGAGAATGCCCTTGGATGAGACGAAGTCTCTGAGGCGTTTGTAGAGCAGACGCTCATACAGTTTGCCTAGAGACATGAGGAGGCTAATCGGGCGGTAGCTCGTCGGATGATTTTTTGGTTTACCGGGTTTATGTATGCCGATAACGTCCGCTTCTTTCCACACCGCGGGAAAGATACAGTTCGCCATAGCGGCATTGAAAATAGATGCCAACATCACGATGAGTTGGACGGGTAGAAGTTTAATAACGCGGTTGGATATACCGTCGGAACCGGGAGCCTTGCGAGGACGTAGGTCTTTGATCAAGTCTTTAACTTCCATCGGGGTGACGGGTGGTAACGCATCCGAGGGTGGCAAGGAGGCTCTGCGTTCTACCTCACTGTCTACTAATTCTACATGAACAGGGTCCACGGATTGAGTGCTGGGCGTGCACTGGGTTTGCAATGTATCGGCCAGCAGCTCTGCTTTTTCGTCATCATCGAACGCCGCGAGTCGGCCTGAGGGGCCTACGAGGGGGGGCATAGTTACTACCGTATCCGATTTGAGAGTACGAGCTAAGCGGTAGTAAGACCTTTGAGAGGGCGCGAGTCCTTCTAAGAAATCAGACCATCTGGCATCTCGGACTTCGGTGATGCGAGACTTTACGTCGCGTTGTAGGGCACGCATTCGAATACGATTTTCCGCGGTAGGATACCTATCGTACGCACGGATCGAGGCGTTCTTAGCTCTAAGGAGTTCCCTAATATCGTCGGGCAATTTGAAGCGGTGAAGGAAGTCCTCCGCTACAACTTGCTTCGATGACCTATCTAATGTCGAGGTGATGTGTGACGTTACGATGTCTATGGCTTCAGCGGTATCCTGAGGAGACGGGATAGAGTCCGGACTAAACGGAAGCGATGGTGGATCAGATTCAGCCAGGCTGATGCCCAGCGTGTGCCAATCCACCACAGTCCTCGTGACGGGAACGGAATCGGGAGCGCGACCGAGCTTCATAATGACGGGACGATGGTCTGAATCTAACTCTGAAACTACTTCAATCGAATGTAAGCGCAGAGTTACGTTTTTTAATAACGCTATGTCGAGTATATCCGGGCGATGCGCGATATTTAGCGGGTAGTGAGTCGGGGTCAGCGGAGCGACGATATCGAAGGCGAGATCATCGACTAACGCGTCGAGGCGCCTGCCATTAGGGGTTGAGGTGTGAGAGTTCCACCTGACGTGTTTACAATTTAGGTCACCCGCCAGAATGACAGAGCTTCCCATGCCGAGCAGCGCCTCAATATCACTACTTAGAACAATTTTATCCGGTGGAAGATAAACGGACGCGATAACGATCGGCGCGTGTCCAGTCAGTGAGATTCGGCATACTGATGCTTCGATGTTAGAAAGCGCGGGGGGGTCGAGTGGGACGCAATGCAGGGCTCTTCTATAGTAAATGACGGTACCACCACCACGAGCAGTGAGCCTGTCGTTCCTAACCATGTTGTAGTTCGCGATTTTAGGGTCGCGGCGCGCGGGCTTAAGCAGGGTCTCCTGCACCAAAAAGATGTCAATTTGATGGTCACGCAAAAAATCACAAACCTGATCACGTTGATTTGCGAGACCGTAAGCGTTAAAAAATCCTATCGTTACGGATAGGGGCTTGATTCTACTTATGTACGCCATTGATTACCGGCGGAGTGAGGGGAGGACGTACGTATTTAACGACGCGTATACGTCAGCGTATTCTTGCACAACGGCGATAAAGTGTTGTGCAGTGGAGGCGGCGCGGATGGCGTCGCCCAAAGCATTAACGCGATCAAAGTTGATCGACTGAAAAAAGTCGATCGCTAGAGCGAGATTGTCGGACGCGGTCGGAGGGCAGGTCGCGGGAGAGGGACGAGTCGCGGGGGAGGGACGTATCGCGGGGGTGGGATGAGTCGCGGGGGAGAGAGTTGTAGCCGTGTTCGTGTACGGCAACGGTTTAGCCCAGGCCGAGACGCTGGGCACCGACGCCGGCACGAAAGCAGGCTTAGCCTTCGGCACAGAGGGTGCCGTGGCTTTGATGTCTGGGCCGAAAGCTCGGAGGCGGTTTTGGCGGGCGACGCGGCGATTTATTTTAGGGGCTCGGGGGCAACCACGGTAATTCGCGGGGTGACCCTGTGTTCGGCACAGGACGCAGCTAGGCGGTTCCGTAGCGGTTTTTTGATCGCGAGTGCAAAGGCTCGTGGCGTGATCGCCCAAACACTTGACGCATCGGGAGCGCGCGTGGCAATTACGGGAAGAGTGCCCGTACAACTGACAGTTATGGCACTGGCTCGGAGTGCCTTTTTTATGGGGGGTTTCGACGGTTATTCCGGAAAGCCTACAGACTGTTCGTACGTTGAAAATTTGCTTGCCCTCGGGGGTAGGCTGGAGAGCGACGAGAACCATATTGTATGGCTCCCTCCCGCGTCCTGTGTGCATGCGGTGCACGGAATTGACCGGCAGACCTTGTTCTAGAAGGTCGGCCTTGACGAGATCGGCATCTAATTCCTTTGGGATGCCGCGTATGACCGCGCGAAGTTCACGCTCCTCCTGAAGCGTATAAGTGTGGAAACTTATACGCTCCTTTCGGAGGTAGCTTGAGAGGGCCCTATGGTCGTCGGGTGTCGTTACCTTAATTTGAATCCCATTCGCGAGGTTACGGGCGCTGATAAAATTAATTTTTTTGGCCTGAAGGGCCAGGGAAACTCGGTCCCAAGCTGCCTTCTCTTGAAGGATTACCGGGGGAGGGGTCTGAGTTTTATTTTGTGCCACTGGACGCGGCGACGGTGTGGCACGGGCAGGGGGAGCGACGGGAGTCGGAGGGCGAGGGCGCGACGCGTTCGCGGCTTTACTAATTTTAGCGGCCGCGGGAGCTCGGGATTCCGCAGCGCGCTTCTTACCCTTTACCAGGGTGAATCCATCCGTCGATGAGGCGGGGGCGAGGTCGACCTCCATGTCCGAGTCAGAGTCGGAGGACGAGGAGGCAGCAGGCTCGGGAGCAGGCGACCTACGGGCAGATGCAGGACGTCCGTCGGACCCTACGGAACCCGCGGATGATCGCGCCAGGGGAGCGGCGGTCACGGCGGACGACGCAGCAGTTTTACCCACTAGTATAGGCGACGCGGGAGCGGCAGGCATGGCGGACGCTGCGGTGTACGACGCGGGAGCGACGAGCACGGCGGAATCCGCGAGAGGGCTCACGGCGTGATCGGCCTTGAAAGCCAGAAACTCAGAAGTGAGCTTAGGGTGGCGAAGTCGGAGGAATTCTGTAAATAAAGCTTCCATGATGTCTGACCCAGGTGGGGCTGTCCCGGGTCTTAAACACACTCGCCTTGCGGCGAGGCCCCAACTTCTCGGTACTTAGCGGTTCGATTGAACACAGGTGGCGATGCGGCACAATTACTGCAGGAAAAAGAAAGAACAACAAAAAAAAGGAAACTACAAAAATAAACCAAAACAAAACAAACACTTCCAGGAACACACTTTGTCGGCAGATGTGCCACGAACAAAAGCCGGGTGAACAAAGGCCGGGCTAACAATAAAACCAGGCGAACAATGGCCGGGCGATTGAGTGGTCGATGAGCACGTCCGCAGGCGGCGGGTGCTTCTGTCGGACTGCGTTATATGTATAAAAGATACGGAACGTCCAAATAGTCAAGAGATTGAAGTTCCATTTAATATTTCTGGACCTCAACAAAACAGGCCGTCAGATTTTTTACGCAGTTTAAAAAATTACCGATTCAAGGGAGCCTTGGTTCAGTTTTTATCTGTCTATTGGGAAAATGATAATTAAGTTACAATTATAAAAAAAAAAAATTGTAACTGTTCAGAATCGTAGTTACTCCTAAGAAGCGCATAAAAATCGAATGAAAAAAAATATGAAGAAGTTGAATATATGTGTAACTATGAAGAGGCAGATACTGGATAACTTTTCATGCATCCAGAGTAACACCGGGATCAAAGGTTTTAATTAAATCTTCCGATACCGACGTTATGGTTATTTTGCTTGGAAACATACATAAATTGGAACTATCAGAAGTTTGGATAGCAAGTTCAACAAATAAAAAAAAAACTAAAGACTTCGATTGCATTAAGTAATTGCACGGAATTGGCCAAAAAATTAGGAACAACACTATGCCGAAGCCTACCAGCTTCCCGTGCGTATACTGGCTGGGATTACACAGCAGCATTTTATCAGAAAGGTAAAGTTCGGCCATTAAAACTGTTCTCCAAAAACGAATCATACCAAATCATATTTGCGTCATTACTAGATGATTTATTTATTAATATATTGATATAATTATTATTAATTATATATGAATATAATATATTAAATTAATATATCTATACATATAAATCTGTGTCTGTTTGTAATATTAAAATAACCGGTTCTTACTACATGCATATATGTACGGTACATACACCAAAATAACATTTGTTGTCTGTCTGTTTGTTCCGGCTAATCTCTGGAGTGGCTGGAAAGATTTTGATGGGGCTTTCACTGACAGTCGCAGTATGTCACTATATACATTGAACTCGGTTCCATACATCAGAGATGGCCTTAAAATGTTGTCATTCCTATAACATTGCCGAAGATGTCCTAAAACAGATTAAAGGGGTTAAAGAGTCGATTGTGACGCCAATGACTATTAATTTTGAAGTTGGCCCTTCAACATCACAAGCACAAGCTCACGACGATGATGATATTGATCTACAAATATTATTTGATTTATCTTCATGATTAAATATACAATAAAATTGTACTGCGTTTTTAATTACACTACTTACCTACTTACAATTATTTTCGTTTTTAATTCATTCAATAAACAAGACTTGGCGTTTGTCATTTTTATTAGCATGTTAAGACTTGATCTAGCACATTTTTAGGATTATCACCACCAAAGTCTAGCATTTTTCCATTTACAAAACACTGACCCTAGCAAAAGCAGTGCTTCACCGAATCTACCACCGGATCAGAATTGTGACCCACTGAGAAGATCCAGCAAGAAACTCAGTGTGATGTGTCCTATGGGTTAGTTGGCTGTAGTAGGACGGTGACTGGTGGCCAATTGCATGTCAATATGACGTCAATGTAAAAGCCAGCTAGACACGTTGCAGATGTGCTGTCAACATTACGAGTGCAACTCTCGCAGTGACAAAGTGAAACTTATTTTAAATTCAGACATCACAAAGTCATCCCCTTTTTAAACATGCATTTTGACAGCTGCATTGAAATAGTAATGAGGAAGCTAAATGAATACCACGTACCTGTTCCATATGTAGCTCTAACATATTACCAGTTTGTTTTTTCTATATAGCTAAAATCTTCATGGAGGATTCTGAATCTAAGGCCAATGCTTTGTAATCAATCTGCATGTGTTTACTCACTTCAATCAGCATGGAATCAACATACTCTTAGCAGATCATTCATGGTAAATGAGTTAATGTTTTACTCTAGGATGGATTACACACTTTATGTCATGTGAAAGTATAGACCTAGTCAGAATACTTTGCCAAAAATTTTCCTCTACAACAAATCATTTCTTGCTTTGGACCTGCTGGTAGCTTGGTATGCTCGGTTGAAGAAAATGTATGTGCCAATGATAGATCTTTTTAAGGATCATCACACAATGGCCACTCGTCCAATAATGTCATTATCTCTTGACAAGCACATTCTGCATCATTTGTCCTCATAGTGTTGAGTTGTTCTGTAACGTGTTTACCGAAAAACCAATATCTTTCATCTTCTGTCTTCCCTACAGCATTTGCAAGAGGATTCACAGCTTTCACAAGATCATCAATTATCCTCATACATTTACTACCATTCTTATTAAGAGTTTTCACTTTCTTTCTCCTAGGTCTATCACTTCTTTGACTTCGTTGTCGAATTTTAATTTCCAGATCATTATTCACAGCGCATTCTCTTTTAATGGCATCATTAATTTCCTCACTATAATTTTCTGCAGTAGTAAAGTTCTGAAATAAAGAACAATATACTATGAGATATATACTTTGAAGTTGTCGTGGCCCAAAGGATAAGACGTCCGGGGCATTCGTTGTTGCGATGCACCGGTGTTCGAATCCCGCAGGCGGGTACCAATTTTTCGAATGAAATATGTATTTAACAAATGTTCACGATTGACTTCCACGGTGAAGGAATAACATCGTGTAATAAAAATCAAACCCGCAAAATTATAATTTGCGTAATCACTGGTGTTAGGACCTCTTGTGAGTCCGCACGGGTAGGTACCACCGCCCTGCCTATTTCTGCCGTGAAGCAGTAATGCGTTTCGGTTTGAAGGGTGGGGTAGCCGTTGTAACTATACTGAGACCTTAGAACTTATATCTCAAGGTGGGTGGCGCATTTACGTTGTAGATGTCTATGGGCTCCAGTAACCACTTGACACCAGGTGGGCTGTGAGCTCGTCCACCCCCCATCTAAGCAATAAAAATAAAAAAAAGATAATCAAGACCTGTCATGCCAGTGGTAGCTTATGTCGAATTAGACTAGAAAAAAAAAAGGTCTAACAACATTATTCACAATCTTCAGCCGAACCATGAAGATGCATATGCAATGGTAAAAAAAATATTTAATACATTATTTAAAACTTCAGTTATTCTTAAACTTTATTAAGTTTTATTACTTTGTCTGTATTTCTTTTCTTTATTTAGTCCCGTTGATAAATATACTATACTGAGTAACTATACTGAGACCTTAGAACTTATATCTCGAGGTGGCATTTACGTTGTAGATGTCTACGGGCTCCAGTAACCACTTAACACCAGGTGTGCTGTGAGCTCGACGACCCATCTAAGCAATAAAAAAAAATAAAAAAAATTTGTATAATGAAATAATAATTATAGATAATACTCAGATTCAGAAATATATAGTTGGTGTGAAAATACCTAGTTAAATTAGTTAAATGTTGATGATGTTAAGCCAGTGAATGGTGGTTTGTTAAGTGTAGTTATATCTTACAAAGGCAAGCTACCTAGAACTGATGCTGCAAGCTACCTACACACCACCATTCGAATTTATGACTACAGCCACTTGGGCAAAACTGCAAACGACTGAGAAGAACCTACAACTAAAGTTTAGTAATTTTTCGTAAGTTTTCGTAATGTGATTTTTTTTTTAAAGTTTAGTAATTTAAAACATTATTTATACTACACTAGCGACCCGCCCTCGCTTCGCCTCGGAAACTGTAATTTATTATTAATTTCTCCACTATTTAATGGATGTCATTATACATATAAACCTTCCTCTTCAATCACTCTATCTATTAAAAAAAACCACATCAAAGTCCGTTGCGTAGTTTTAAAGATTTAAGCATACATAGGGATATAGGGACAGAGAAAGCGACTTTGTTTTATACTATGTAGTGATGCTTTTACCTCTATATTGTTGGGTTCTTTCTTGGATATCTCCTTCAAGAATTGTAGAGGTTTCCACAATGGCCAGCATGGAACATAGATTTCTGTTGACGATTTAGCTACTTTCATAGATTTTTCTACTCGACGCAAGTTGTGATTGAATGTGCTTCTTATGTTCACCCACCTGTCTCTTACAGATCGTGCTGGAAACATTTATTTATTTTTTAGTGTTCATGAATACATGGTTATTCCCTAGATTTTTGACTGATTAACGACACTGATATCTCAAAGATAGTTAAGTAGTACCAAGGCATTTAGTTTTTTAGGTGAAATGCTCCAGTTTCCTATTCAATGTTTTGATAAAACTAATATATCAAAGATACATAAGCAAGGAGAAAAGATAAATCAACATTGATCAGCCCAAAATGAACACTATAGATATATGGGTGGTGACAATTTAGTTTACAGCATCATAGGATACTACAAAATCTTGATCCAAAGTAAAGTTAACCAGTACAGCTATTTATCATTTACTAGACTTAACAATGACAAATTCGTGGCTTCAATACCATCAGACAAAATGTGTCACACAAAACCCTCAAATAAGTCCTCTTTTAGCAGATTTGTGGCTTAAAGTAACCGAGTGACCAATTGTCGAATAGACTTTATACAACCTAAGAAAGAAACAGCAATTAAGAACGGCAAATCGACAGAAAGTGAGATCCAGGTGAAGAAACTTAAGGTCCTATGCCCATATTGGCCTAATTGCAGTTTGACATAATCAACTCAGGTACTGACCAGCTTGGTCACAAATAGGAACAGGTGTAAATTCCCTAAATGTACAGAACTTTCCTAAACCGCATGTGAGAAATGTAGTGTTTCTCTGTACTACAAGAAGAAAAATAATTGCTTCAGACACAAAATTTATAACATTACTCAGTATATATATATTCGGTTCCCTCTGTATTTTGTACCGTATGTTCCATGGGGAGTGCTCTGAGGAATTGTTCGAGATGATACCAGCATCTCGTTTTTACCATCGCACCGCCCGCCACCGGAGTAGAGTTCATCCATACTACCTGGAGCCACTGCGGTCATCCACAGTGCGTTTCCAGAGATCTTTTTTGCCACGTACCATCCGGCTATGGANGAGAAATGTGGTGTATCTCTGTGCTACAAGAAGAAAAATAATTGCTTCAGACACAAAATTTATAACATTACTCAGTATATATTACACCGGCCGACATCATTTTCCTTGTTCAAGTTCTGATTATTTTTTTCCACTAATTTGTAGTGCTGATCACGAAATTATACCTCATTTTATCGTATCACATCAGGTTTTAAAAAAAGTTAAGACGTTGGCTATTTTAAATTTTTTGATTAAAATAAATTAAATTTTAGATTTTGGCGCTCTTTTCTCAAATCTTGCGACCTCTCGTGAGGAAATATATTAGTTGCAACAACGACACACCCATTTGAAACAGGTTACATGCAAATAAACCTCTACAGTTACTTTGTTTATAAACTTTTTACTGAAATTAGTGTATTTATTTCAAAAAAACCTTACGTTTTACTTTTAGTGTTCAATACATTTTAAATAATTTGTTTTCCTCCCACTGCCATCTTCCTAAAAAAATTGTCTCAGGTATAATCCGTCTTAGACTTGGCCATGTTTGCTTCCCTGTTTTTCTTGCCAAAATTAGAGTCCGTGACCATTCTTTTTGCGAGTGTGGATTAGATGAGGGTACCCTGGATCACATTTTCTTCGACTGCCCCAATATCGTATCCCCTCTTTATGATATCCTTCCCAATGACATTCCCCGGCCTATTCATATTAATTGTTTATTAACTTTAGTCTATTCTAAACATGTAAATATTCTGTGTAAATTTTTATCTGCTAATAATATTTATCTCTAAAGTAGTTAGTCTAACATATATTTGTTTGTGCTGTTCTTAAAACCACAGATTCGCGTATGGAAAAATCGACCAAATTTATTTGTATTTAGATTTAGTAATTTTTTCCCTCTCTAAGCACCTGTCATTTTTGTAAATACTTTGACATTGGCAAAATCAATGCCAAAGGCGTTGGAGCCAAATTATCTAAAAGAAGAAGAAGAAATAATTTGTTGTTGAAAAACTGTTAAAACAACAGAATGTCTTCAAGAAAGTGTCATAATAATGCGGATACATTTTGTTATATTTGTGGAAACTTTATGACTTTAAAGCAAAAACAGAAAATCACTGAATTTGTTGAAAATTTGTATAATGCTTATTTTGGCTTCAAAATACAACTAAAACCGTGGACTCCACAAGTAGTTTGGACTATTTGTGTTAATTACGACAATTACGACAGTGGACGTACCGCAAAAGACAATCTTTACCTTTCGGTAGACTTATGATATGGAGAGAGCGGACAAATCTTTGATGGCTGATCAAAAATTTGATGCCACAATGAATAACACTGAATCAGATGCTTGGCTGGCGTTCAAAGATGTTGTCAACAATTTTCTAGGAAATAATAAACATCCCGACTATAAAAATAAGGTTGCAAACTTATTGGATAAGTATAAAAAATTGGGGTGTAATATGAGCATAAAACTCCACTTTCTAGATTCACATGTGGACGTTTTTCTTGATAATCTTGGTGATTACAGTGAAGAGCAGGGAGAAAGGTTTCATCAGGACATAAAAAATAAGGAGACAAGGTACCAAGGTCGATGGAATGTGAATATGATGGCTGATTACTGCTGGTCACTGACATGTGATATTACTGAAGATACTCACAAAAAAACTACACCCAGACGTAATTTTGTCGCGAAATGTAAAAGATATCACTCTAAATAGTCCTGTAGCATTGTTTAGACTCTTGTAATGTTAAAATATATATGTTTTTGTAATATGATTATTGTTATTTTCTGAAAATTAAAAAAAAATGCATTTTCCTTCTTTTAAAAAAAGCTGATGTGATTTTTGTGTTTAAAATAGTATAAATTGGTGATATTTGTGGCTCAAATACAAACAACTTTCAAAAAATTTTCATTTGTCGGCCGGTGTTATTTGTCATATGGCCTTTAAATATTACGGAAGAAATAAATGGATACTTGTACATAATATATATTGATACTTGCTTCGACTAAAATTGTAATAATAATAAAGTACATAGGTACATATAGATTAGAGCGATTACGATTGTATTTGTTTTTAAATATTCACATGTTATTAAGAAAAATAAATATGGCGTCTGTACAAAATTCAATTACCTGTAAATCCTCGACCCAATTTAGCGGCGAACTCCGCATAAGCCCTATACTTTTTCTGAATATCGTGGTTAGTATTTCCTACTGGTTTCCATACGAAGTCTCTTTGATGCACGAAATCAATCAATTTTAATTCTAGTTTACGCGTCCAGTAACAAGGTTTTCGAGGCATTGCAGTTCTTAACTTTTGACTATGGAGGGTCTTTTGGCTATTACGATCATAAATAATACACTTAAATTAGGTAATTAAATTACTTTTAAGTTTAAAGGTGATGTATTTTTTATGCGATTAACGAATTAGCTTCAACAGCAGTTTATGGTAGTTGTACTATTGTCTATGACCATAGACTGCATAGACGAATATATTAAGTGTATAATCTATGGCATAGACATAAGCGCCTTAAGCGCCTTATTCACGTTCCATCTTGCTGTACGTCCCGCCAAGGCCATGCACGATGCACGATGCAAAAGGATCATGAATAGGCTTGACGTACGTCGATAATTATTATTAATTGTTTGCTGGATTTGCACGACCAATTTTGCATCCAGCGAGCGCCCCCACCACCGCGTACGTCGTGCAAATAGACAGTGAATAACGCTGACGTACGTCAGAGCGGTCCTGCGTCGTGCGTGCTTGATCGTGTATAGACTTGCTGTACAGCAGATTTAACATTTAGAGCTTGTTTCGAGAGGAGACTGCACGTCAAAATGGATCGTGAAACACTTTCAAGATTTATTGAAAGATATAAGTTCCACATGTTTGTGGAATGTCTCAAGCGCAGACTATATGAATAAACAAAAAATAATAAACTTATTACAATTTTTTAGGCCCATTTTAGGGGAAGCTGCAAGGATTGATAGCGTGCGTAAAAAATGATATTAATTATTTGAGTATACTCTGCACGTTTAAAAAAATCATCCAAAACCTCTTGCTATTTTTTGCCTCTCTTCTGCTGCTGCTGACAACATCAGAAGGAGTCCCATTTTTGGCGTTTTGATAAAACAGCTGGCATTTTAAATAAATTAAAACCCTCTCATTTAATTCGTTCGATTTATTCTGTTGCGCTTGATACATCCAGCACCGCGGCCTTGAGCTGACGTACAGCCGTGATGGATCGTGAATAAAGCGCTAAATGCATCGGGCATCGTGCATGGCCTTGGCGGGACGTACAGCAAGATGGATCGTGAATAAGGCGCTATGAATATAAATATCGTTATGAAGGTATAAAAAAGATAGGGAGTTCACATAGGTAATATAAACAAATAAGTAAATATGTTCATTATTTATCTTTCAAGAGATAATATAGGAATACATTATAATAACTTTTTTACACAGTCGAAATTATATTCCTAACATTAGTAAAATAACATTTTAATACGATAGGTAAGAGGATGGAAAAAATGTATTTGGTCTAACTTAACGCCAATGCACATTACTTCATTTATTTATTTTTTAATTTTTTTAATTAAACTGTATACCAATTAATTGCTCCTTCAGGATTTAAATTTGTTTTTTTTTTCACGATTAAAACCGCGTAAAAAGTTTATGCATTATAGTTGACGCATGCGCAGTACACATATTTTGCATACATTTATTCAACTAATAAAAATAGTAAATTAAACAAAAAACGAGTAATTTCGAAAGAGAACAAACATGTTTTATATAAGAACAATCGAAAATGAATATTTACGAGTCATTAAGGATGAAAAAATATTAAAAATTGCATTAGAGGGGCTAACTTGTAGGNAAGCACGTGTTTTGTATTTACATAGGGTTACACAGAATTACTTAAGGTAAATTCAAAACTTATGCATGTGTATAATTTTGTCCTATAATTAAATTATATATGGTCACCACATTAGACAAGGACACCGCGACCAAAAAGTATTCTCTTTCGAGACCGATTTCTCGGCATTAGACAGCACTCCAGTTGTAGGTACTTATTAACTCCATGCATTACACATAATGTTTAAAGTCATAGAGGAAATAAACCAACTTAAAGGAAAAAAAATGATGATTTTATGGCCTGGTAACGAGACCTTTAAGCCATTTTCTTCTTACATTTTGATAAAATAATATGAAAAAATAAAGGGAGCAAGATGAGATGAAGCTCATTATTTTTAGAGTTCAACCAATTAGGATGAAATTAAATGAAATGAAATAATAAGGGATGACCCTAGACTGTGAATCCAGTTGTATGTATATTTTGTGTAGATATAGTTAGAATAATAATAAAATATGCCATTTCAAACAAAATAATATTTTTAGAATGGTAAAAAGAAATATGTATTTTTTTCACGAAAAAAACTTTTTATTTTCAATGTCGTATAAATTAACTTTAACAAAAAAGTCTTATTACAAATATGGTTATATATTGATAATTTTTAAATTGACTTTTTGGAAGATCCCGAGATGATACTTCAGTGCAATGGCTTTGTTTCATTTTACCACATTTGTGCACTTTCACAGACGCTAAACAGTTAATAAACCATCTTTATTATACAATTAAACCTGAAGAAACACTAAATTATCAAAAGAAAACAATTCATAATATGACTTCGCTCCTCGTATGCCAGACAAAAATTACTACGGAAACAGTAATTAATTAAACTTTGATCTATGGTAATTTGTGTTTTATCAGATTTGTTTGAAATCACCATTGAGCAGGCAAAAAGAACATCGACGCTTGAAAGGCAAACGTGACTTAGCGACAATAACTGCTTTGTACTTATATGATAGGCAATAACAATATTGGACGCGAAAAAAAAAAAATTTCTAGGTCTATTAAAATCATTTCAATCCTACAGCTAGATTCGTTAAAATAGAATTTTTTTCAGGTATTTCTCAGATATATTTTAAATTATTTTCAATTTTAATAAAAAAAAATATAAAAAAAAAACATATATGGGACTGAGAAAAAGATAAACTTAATGAATCACTCCGAACTTCCTTGATGCACTTTTGAATTTTCTTACTAGCGAGTGTTTTATATGCCGATCGATCAACAATATTTCGTTATTTGCGCTGGCACCGTGTTTTATTTTTTACGTTGTTTCTTTTGCACACGCGTATGTAGTTTTATCTTCGAGCGTCAACAGATGGCGCGGAAAACGGATTGAGTAAGGAATAAGGTAAAGGAAGTCCGAACAATATAGCCTATGCAGCGTATTATTTGTCACAAAAGCCAAAGTGGTTCCTGTTGTTTGAAATGTGAACTTCATATAAGAATAAAATAAAATAAGTTGAGATAAAATAAAACGTAGACGTTGAGTGAGCTGAGTGAAATAACCTTAACCCACAGACACAGCCCACTGAGTTTCTCGCCGGATCTTCTCAGTGGGTCGCGTTTCCGATCCGGTGGTAGATTCTGCGAATCACTGCTTTTGCTAGGGTCAGTGTTAGCAACTCTCCGGTTTGAGCCCCGTGAGCTCACCTACACACGCTAGGGTAAGCTGAAATAGCTTCTCAAGGCTATCAGCTTATGTAGAAAAAAAAAGTGAAATAAGGTCACATTATCATGGCACGTTCAGTATTGCCTGCGTCTCCCTCTATGATTGAATGTAGTATGGGCTTATCCCACATTTCATGCACACACATTTACTCTTCACAATATAAAATTTATTTAATACTAGCTGACCCGGCAAACGTTGTGTTGCCTTAAATAAGATTTCTAGGGAAATTGTACTGTAGAAAAAAAACCTCATTTAACCACATAATACCTCATTATAATCAAAAAAAATATCCAAAAAATTAAAATAAAAAATTAATGTTTGGGGTGGGCAACCCTTTTCACTTAGGGGTATGAAAAATAGATAGTAGCCGATTCTCAGACCTACTGAACATACTATTGATACACAAATAAAACCAAAAAAACATGGCTGAAAAATGTATAGTATTGTATAGCTCTCAAATATATTAAGTGTATAATCTATGATGTATAGTGAGTAAGTAAGACAGGAGACCGNATTAGATAAAGTTTAAACAAAAGGATTTTATTATCATAGACATGAATACAAAAAAGTTAAATTAGATAAAGTTTAAACAAAAGGATTTTATTATCATAGACATGAATACAAAAAAGATGGCGCGTAACGGAAAAATGTGACGCGTAACCGAAAAATGTGACGGTAAATTTTTTTCCAACGCCGATAAAGAAGTTTCACTTCAACAAAATTGTTATTTTTATTTAATTCCGAGCCTTTTTATATTTATCTACCTTTTAAACCTTCTCTGGACTTCCACAAATAATTCAAGACCATAATTAGCCAAATCGGTCCAGCCGTTCTCGAGTTTTAGCGAGACTAACGAACTGTAAATTCATTTTTATATATATAGATTGCATATATGGATGGAAGAGCTCACAGCCTACCTGATGTTAAGTGGTTGCCGAAGTCCATAGACATCCACAGCATAGATGCCGCCACCCACCTTGAGATATGAGTCCCAAGGTCTCAGTATAATTACAACGGCTGCCCCACCCTTCAAACCGAAACGCATTACTACTGTTACGCCGGTAAGAGTAACGCCATCTATCGCCGAATAGTCGAACGAATATCGAAGGATCCAGAATGCTCGAGAATTACAACGCTATCTATTGTCAGATAGCGGAAACTGCTACTAGAGAGGTGTGGAATATTCTCGATGATTCTAGAGATGAGGTATCGGCTATAAAAGCGTTGCAGAGATGGCACGCAGTCAGCCAGTAATCGGAACTACTCGAAGCGAAACAGCGAACGGATCACCTGAAGCGAAGCGGAACAAGCGAATTGAGTGTTCTAAAGTGTTTGTTGAGTGTTTTAAAGCGTTTGTGAAGTGTTTAAGTGTTCTAAGTGTTGAATACAGTTTTTAGTTGTACTTTGGTGAAATTTTATTTATCCCGTGCCCCAGCGCGTAACACTACTTCACGGTAGAAATAGGCAGGGTCGTGGTACCTACCCGTGCGGACTCACAAGAGGTCGCACCTCCAGTAAAATGGACTATTCATGACTATTACTGAATCGAAAATTCAATAGCGAATCATCACACAAGCTGGCAATCGATCATAGACATTATCGGGCGTGTGTTCGCCGCCGTTACTAAATATCGGCTGTATCGAGAGCTTTATGTCTTCCGTTCCGATATCTCGTGTTTACGCCGAAGCTGTATGTACGGAAAATGTGTTTGTAATGAACGAGTACTTACACAGAACGCGGAAACACGTCCGATAGGAGACCGACCGAATGATGATAAATATACACAAGAAGCGAACTCCGCAAATTAAACATTTTAAATTGAATGATATAACGGAACGTAATTTCCGAACGTGCGATACCGCCCCCGTCGCCGCCTTACCGCCCGCTGAGACAGAGCTCTCTGAGCGCGAAAACACACGCCCTCAGCGCGCGCGACGACGACCAGTAAGATATTGCGAGTCTTAGTGTAACTGTACGATTCTCAACTCATTTTGTATTTTGTTAGTTATTGTGTCGCTTTTTTTTTATATTAAACCTCATACCAAATCAGTGTAAACATTATTTATATATCATCTTCGCCAACAGCCCGGAACAACGAACTCACGAAAACTCACAAAAGCCCGCCAGTCGGACTTGTAGTGTTAAAAATGGCGCCCGAACGTTTAGCTGTGAAGTGATATTTATAAGAAATTATTGTGCCTGCATGAACGATTTGTGTTTTCCTGACTTTACCGACTAAACCGTCGTCAAATAATGCCGCCGAAGAAGATGCCCAACTCCGAGGAGCGCGACGCGAGAGCCGCGTCGCCACCCCACGCGCCGTCGAGTGACGCGCCGCCCGCCAGTGTTTGCTTCCGCCCGGAAGACATCACCATGCTGATCGACACCCTTCAACGAACGCAGCTAGACGCGTTCCGGGAGCTGTTAGATAGCGTCAGGCAGTCGGCGACTCCTACATTCGACCATCGGCCCGCCAACAACTTCAGCCGCTGCAAATCTGTATTCAGCGGACGCGCAGACGAGTCAGTAGAAGGTTTTATCGACGCAATAGAATCGTACAGAGACGCCGCCAATGTTCCCGATGACGTAGCCGTAAAAGGTATTTCCATGTTGCTGACACACACCGCCGCTACCTGGTGGCAGGGTATCAAGCATCAAGTTTCTACATGGGAAGACGTCATCTCAAATCTACGAAGTGCTTTTGGTGATCGCCGCCCACCCCACAGAATTTATGTCGACCTATTCGCAGACGGCCAGCAGCCTATGGAGAAAACCGACCTGTTTGTCGCCAGGGCTCGAGCACTCCTCGCGAAGCTACCTCGAGGCGAC